TATTTTTTATTTATTATTTTCTCTTTTCTTTACTTCTTTCCCAACATTTGTTTTCGGATTATTTTGCAATTGTCATCTGCATGTAACATCAATGTAATCGTTTCTGTAACTTCTTGCCTGATTATGCCAAGTGGTATCAGGCTAAGTAATAAAGATTATTTGATGATGATGATGATCTCGCAGCCACTAAACAATATAATTAATGTAAATAAAAATAGAATTGTTGGGTATTAATGTATTGCGGCTACGGCCGCAACTATGTAATCATAACTACCTGCAAAGCAGGGTTAATTAAAAGAGGAGTACCTCAAGACCGTAGTATTTAATGCTACAGGTCAAAGGGTATAGGTCAACATTTTACCTATAGTGCTCCACTATAGGTAAAATGTAAAATATGTAAATCTCGCAACATTCTTGTAAACAAAAGTAATTGTTTAGTGCTGACATGCCAATTTTTATAAAAATTTAAAAATGAGCAATATTCACTGAATGAATGCATTTTTGTTGGTTAAACATAGGTAGGTTCCAATGTTTAACCATGTTTATCAAAATCATAAGATTTACCATAGGATTTATCAAAATCCTATTGCCAACCTCAAACAGCTCTAATCTGTTATCAAAGCCGAGATTCAAGCCATTCCTAATGACATTCTGATGAATGTGGTTGCTGGTTTCAAGCATCAATTACAATCCCATATCACCCACCAAAGAGAGACTTCAAAAACTGCATCAACTAATTACCTTTGATCTCAAAAGTATATATATATATAGGGCTTAGGGTTGTTTAATATACTTATAGATATTGATATGTATAAAATTTACAGTAAACAATACTAAATAACTACTAAAATTACTAATAAATCATTCAGTAACAACTGCAATTATTGAATCATTTTTGAATTTTCTCTGCACTTTGAAATCTTTAAAGAATAAATATTTCTGCAAATTATAATAATATTTTTGTTTTATTTTGTCTAATAAATGTATTGTATGTTATTATCTACTTCACATTAGATGACCATTTAAGTGTGGTATAATTATACTGATATGAAACATTGCTATTTTAGTTTTACAATATTATCGTACTAAGAGAAAAACAATTCATTTTATATATATATATATATATATATATATGTGCAAAGATTAAGATTATTAGATTATAGCTGATCTTACCCATTTTTACCAGATGCAAAAATTAGGTTCACTCTCTTCCAAGACTAATTAGAGAATTTTTAGATAGGTCTAAAAATATGTTCGAATTCCCGCAAAAACGCAAAAAACTGCATCTAAAATAGTACAGTAGAATCCGAGTTCAAGGTGATCCTTAACCTAAGAAGGAATTTAAGAAGTATCCTTAATTCCTAAGAAGGAATTTCCAAAAATCCCTTCTTAGTGTGCCTTCTTGTGACATACCCTAATTATGTACCAAATTTCAACTTTCAACCCTAACCGTTTGGGCTCTGTGCCCAAAATTATTATTATTAACCCATCTCAGTTATAAGATTTGTTTTGTTGTAATCAATGTAACATAATTGATCGTTTATAAGTTTTTGTTAATAATTCTTTATTTCTTATGTTTTTTCATACTCGATGTAAAGTTTGTCATTCAATACCATTTCATAAATAAATATATTTCAACTCTGATTTTCTGGATCCGCCCCTGCTAAGAAGTCAATTGACTGTATAAACATATCAATAAATATTTTGAGTAGAACAGAAAAATAAAAGCAAATATTAAAGAATTTTTTTTTAATTACAAATTTAATTCTTTGTATTCTGTGGATTAAATTTTCTATTATCCAACATTAACTTCTTTTTCATTCTATATTTCAAAAAATCAGTTTTTGATAATCTAAAAATGGCTGTAAGGCATACATACACAAACATAGTGTATACGGTTTGATAACCTTACCAAACAACCGTAAATGATATTTAAATTTTTTAATTTGTAGA